ACCAGAGTCCAGTCAGATTGGACTCCACTTTGTATCCTTTGGAAACGACCATAGTTAATTCCTAATGAATGCTCTATGATGGGTTGATCTTATTCCATGTTCAACGCTCATCCTATCATCTTTCATTGGTTCCAACAATACCATAAGCGCCGGCGGGTTTTCAATTATATTATAACGTATTAAAAGTATATCTGTCCTCAATTTTGGACTTAACACATACTTACAGACAGTTTTGCCTTCATTCTAAAACCAAATGCCTATCATTTCAACACATTATTCATATATTCAATCAACTCAGTTCAAACACGTCGCTGCAAGCGGATCTCGCTGTCGTTCTCCAATTTACTTGATTAATATGTATGCCAAGAGAATCCTAAATCTAAGAAGGCAGGCTCGGTGCCAAATGTCAAACCCATAACGCTAACCTAACTTAGTTAATTGACAGCTCTAAGCGGTGTTTATGTTTCGAAAACCCTTTATAATGCCTTAAGTAATTTGGAACAAAATCTCCTGTGAAACGTCTAAGCGCCATCGGAATAAGTTGGTCGAACTTCAAACATCGCTGTAGTATTCTATTATTATGTAAATGGCTATTTGTTTGGACTGTATTTAAATAATGCTGCCCACCTTCATGGAGGAGGACTATTGGCCGAAGGGGGTGGTATAACGGCATTACTGTGACAGATTGCCGTCGTCAGTGCCGTGACCATTTGCCGTTTACATTTATTTATATTATTATTACATATGTATGTTAGTCTATTGACTTGTCACGAGGCCATAGTAGCCTGAAATAAATATATAAAAAACTAGCTGACCCGGCGTACTTCGTAACGCCTAACAGTCGATTCTTTAATTTTTAAGTTTATTTCATACTTATTCTGCTATTCAGGACGCCGGGTCGTGTTAATTTTCTAAAAAATGAATTATCGAAATCGGTTCAGTAATTCTCGAGATTACCAACACATTTAGCGATTCATTTTTATATTATAGAAGATAATAAAAATCTAGCAGTTTTATAAGCAATAAAAGATGCCAGTTGCTTTAGGTTTTTTGTTGCGTTAAACATACGGAGAAATAAAAAAAAATTATTGCTTTATGAACACATTATTAAACTAATAGAATTACTTTACGTACATTTGGTTTCTGCTGTGTAAACAAATTCATTAACTGAAATAAAAAGTATATTATACGATTATATCTGAAATACATGTTTACGATAGAAAATATCTATTGTTAATTGCTTAAACATTAAAATAGTATCCTCGGTATCGTTTTCTTTATTTCTTTTTATTGTAAACACATTTAAAATAAAACAAATATTAAGTGAAGCTTAAGTTTAGGCTTGGCCGGTCTGTTAAGCTTCCTGAGATTAGGCTGAATAGATAGAGACACTAACTACACTCACTATAATAATACACATCTACATACTTTTTTTACAATAATTGTTATAGATTACTTTACCTAATAGTATATTTACCTAATGATACATTTATTTCTCTTCTTTCTCTTCTATAATACATACTATGGCACAAACAGCGATCAGTTGGATTATATAAGATTTCGTGTCACTTGATTGTGTAGTTAAAGCATCATCAGGTAAAAAACAAATAAACAAATCAACTTTATACTATAAGGAAGTAGTAAAGTAAATACTTTTACAATTTCATTAATTCCAAATATTTAATAACAACAAGTAAAATTTATAGAAGTACTGCTTTCTAACATAACATTTGAATTTCGCATGCTTAATAAAAACTGTATAAATACAAAATTTACAATTATTGTGAATTCAACTTTATAGCCAAGACCTTAAAGTCGATTTTGTAAGATTTGAAATTTTCGAGTTAATGCAATATATTACTAAGCCTGAGATTTATTGTCAGTAGATCATTCCGCATTATACAGAACCTCCAAATCTGACGCAATTCAGAACAGTCAATAAAATAAATCAGCGTAGACGATTCGTAGAACTTCAGTTAAAGACAGGCAACCTCAATAGTAATCAACAGTAGTATGGAGTATTCCTAGCACGTTTACGAGTCTATTAGAAGTTTATTGGTTTCTTAATACCTGTTAATGATTGATGAAGTAATAAACGATCCCAGTAATACCACCCGTAGGGTTTCTTATTCCCTGTATAGCTTGGATTTCCAGTTTCCGCCCTCCGCTGTCTAATAATCAATGTTAAGCGATACGCATAATTTACGTGAATCTATAAACACAGGCAAGGGACCAGAAGGAAGGAATCGTGTCTCGCGCAGGGTTGCCAAACTTAATATTTAATTTCGTACGAAGATACATAATCTTGTGTATATTGAAGCTCAATTTATTCTTATAATCTCTTTATTTTTACATCAATTTTATTTATTTTCTAGCTACTCGCCCCGACTTCACCCGAGTGTATTATATATATAAAACTTCCTCTTGAATAACTCTACCGATTAAAAAACACCGCATGAAAATCCGTTGCGTAGTTTTAAAGATTAAACATAGGGACAGACAGACAGTAACCGCGACTTTGTTTTATACAATGTAGTGATTATTCTTAATTGCATCAGAAATGTGGCAATGGTACATACAAAGCAAGAACATAATTTACAGAATAATAAAGTATCAAAGGCAATTTTATCGTTTAACCAATATATTCTAGACAACCATTGGGTAGAGAAGAAAACATAGAAAGTTCCGGAATGAAATGAAACGGAATGAAAGAAAATGTTACATTTCAAAGTCAAATTTAAATTTATCTTAATGTTAATGTTTACTGTTGACTTATAATTTTGTAACTGACGATCTAACTGTAAACTGTTTTACATGGCAAATAAATTAATCTAAATCAATGTAATTAGGATCAGAATTAGTTTCTAGACTAGACCGACAGTTTTGTAAATACCCAATCTCGAAGTAGACATGGGTACCTAATTTATTACAAACTTTTACTCAACTCTACTCGTCAGTTAGTCTAATTAGGTCGAAATATGAAAGTAACTTTTGAATCAGTTCATAACGGGATTAAATTGTACTGAATAATAAATGGAATTGACTGAAACTTTGTATACGTAATTTAATATTGTTGATAATTCACTATTATTGTCATAACGAAGCGCTGAAATGTATGTTACTAATATTATAAACGCGAAAGTTTATGATTATGATGGATGTTTGTTACTCTTTTACGCAAAAACTACTGAAAGGATTTTGATGAAAATTTATATATTTATAAGATGTAATATAGCTTATACGTCAGAATAGAACATTGGCTATAAATTCGATGCAGGTGATACCACGGGCACAGCTAGTATGTTTATATTCTTAAACAAGCTGTTCCCGCGACTTCGTCCGTGTGAAAATTAACTTTATTTATCTAAAATAAAAGAATTTGTCTAAACTAAAAGTAGCCTAAATTACTCCTTATTACATCAGCTAAATAAAGTCCCGTCATAATCGGTTGAAGCAATTTCAGAGATTAGTCGGAACAAACAGACAGACAGACAAAAATAGTAAAAAATTTTATTTTGGTGTATTATAATACGCATGTAGTAAAAAACGATTCTTTTAATATTATAAACAGACAATCCAATTTTATTTATATGTATAAATTAAAAATGTAAACTATAAATATATATTTTTTTAATTTTGCATTTTTTTCTCGCTCTTCAAGATCTGATTTACAATTAAGCGGTATATAAAAAACTATAACTAATAATAAATCAGAAACTACTTAGAAATATAAATAATCATTATTCAAATAAACTTTTATATGAATGAAGATTATTTCTATTCTAAATAAAATGTCCCTTATCTAAAATTGTTTATTTAAGGGACGATGCAGTGGTGTATTTAACATAAAGCAATTAACGTCATAACTTGGCATCTCTACAAGGTACCGTAATTACGGTACCTTGTAATTACCAGACATCTCTTAAAGTTATATTGTTTCAGTGATTGTCATCTCGATAGAATGATAAATGTATTGTTAGATCGTGTGGAGTCTTGCGATGTTTTCAGAAAATCTATTATCAAACATTGATTATAGTAATCACTTATTTTTTAAAAATGATTAAGAAATTATTTACTTTTTATTTCCAAGCTTTGTGTTTTCTTATAAATATTATATATAAAAACGAAATTATGTTTGTTAGTCTCGCTATGTAACATTATCTTATCTGTCTAGCTAATACTCGAGAATGGCTGGACCGATTTGGCTATTTTTAATTATAAAATACTTATGAACTCCGAGAAAGGTTTAAGAGGTGAGAAAATATGAAGAAATTTAATGGAAAATTGTAAAAACAACAATTTAATTTAAACTGTTTGTACCTGTCAAACAAGGTGCGTTCAGAAATTGATTGCGTAAATAAACTTCAAAAACCTTATATATAATTATTTCATTCTGAGGCGGAACGGAGTTCACGGGGTCAGTCAGAGAGAGCTTAATTTTAGAGAAAAATGGAAAATAAATGCAGAAAATTATATTGCTATTTTATATAAATATTAGTTGCAGAATTAAAAAATTGCATTTATATATTTCATTCAAATCTGAAATCATAAATCAATATTTTTCAATCGCAAAAAGCGATATAATATATTATTTCCGTAATTAATGCTTTGATGTTATATGTATAAATATTATTTTCATTGTTTGCCTTATTAATAACTAAATCTAACATACTAAATTCACATAGTATATGCATAGGTTCTATGTTACATGAAATAAGTGGTGGAAAATGAAAATCCTTTTCTAAAAACCATTAGACGAATAAAGAACCAAAACATTTCAGATCTGGTAAATTTAAAAAACAAAACCTTCAGGTTTCTGGACTCACTTTCAGAGTGTATAAGTTTTAATATTTTTTTATATATATGTATATCTGATTGAAGTTTTAATAATTTAAGATAGATGTAAATATTAACTATTTACACAACTTTTCTACTGACAAAAGGCAAGGCCACTATTGCGAACCGATATTTATTCACTGAAATCGTTACCACGTACTCACCATGATTTGTCATGTAAGTGCTGCTCGCCATAAACCCCTGGCATTTGGGCCAGTTAGAAGTGCTGGCACGTTACACAATCTGAAAATAAAATAAAAACTTGTCTTATTTCGTGCACTTTATGTTTCAAGTTCATTTTATGAAATAACATTTGAAATCAATCAAATCATTAATTAATTTTTACAATTATTTAATTTGACGTACTTATGTAAAAACTTTAAAATTATTTTTTTTTGTTTGCGCCTCGTGTGGAAATAAGATGGATGATGATGTATATCCGTCTCGTTTTTTTTTATATTGATTGTAGTTATTTCATTATTTGCGTCACGTAATGATGTATATAAAATAAAAACGTCTGTGAATATCAAAGTATATTTTCCGAGCTAATGGAGTGTATTCAAGTATAAAATTCTATTTAAATTTCTTATTTCTCCGCGCTCAGAAAAATATTCTGTACAATTAAGTATAAGAATACGACTGACTGACTCTTCAGGTCGTTGAGAGAGTTTTCTAATATTTTTTATCTCTACATTAATACTTTAGTTTAGGTTTGCTTTAATTTAAGTTTGCTGTTTGCATGAGTTGCTAATATATTATATTTTATAATTATACTTTTGTAAGTCCTTCATATACATGGGGGATTTACAAAACTATAAGGCACAATAATAATTATAACCCTGCACAATCCATACAGCGCAATCTAGTCCCAAGCTAAGCAGAGTTTATGTTATAGGTACAAGACAACTAAAATGATACTTCAATTAGTTATACTTTAATTCACACATAATATACATAGAAAATATCAAGACTAATACAAATAATGATACTTATGAATTTAAGTATGTGCACCGTGAAAGGAATCGAACCCGCGATCATTGGAAGTTAAGGCGCTAGACCACCGAGGCCGATAAACAATTTTATAAACATGATGACCTGTGGTACTGAAAGAAATTTTCGACATTATTTTTGTGTAACTGAAATGACAATCAAGCCAACACCAGTCCAGGTAGTAAATGGTAACCACCGCCAACATATATCGTCATATTACGTCATTATGTGATACCTGTTGTACATATAAGTTTAAAAACTGTTAAGTATCATATATAATAGTAAGCAAGGAAAATTTTATTCTGAGGTAATATTATTTTTATTGTATGGTCTGTGGTTATAAAAAGAAAAATGGAAAAAGCGCTAAAAGATTAAAAGAAGTTATGCATATATTATTAACTTAAATATCTGTCATTAGTAATAAAGTTAACCAGAACTAATCGATTGATTATATCTATACTTTGTTAACAATATCTCATCAAACCATTACTATTCTTCTCCATTCTAACCAAGAATATCATATAAAATTATCACATATTTCATATTCCAACCAAATATCTTCCATGAAGACCTCTATTAAATAGGTTTATCAAGATGTAACACCGTTAGGCAAGTCCTGGATTTACGGGATCAACTCGCAAAGGATATGGCAGAATTATAAGTATGAAATATCTTCCTCAGGGCTGTTAATGTAAACATTGACTTGTAAAACACGTTTATCTATTTCTATTTAATTATGAAAGAAAAATTTTAATTGATAGCAGAATTATAAGGGCATGATATAGTTCTTAATTAATTAATTTGGATAAATAACAACATCATATCATTATAGTGAGAACTTATGTTTGTTTTACACTAATTTAATTGTTTACAATCATATACAATTTATTTGCACTAGTATTATATAACTATATACGGCAATTAAAAGATTATTGGCCTAAATTAGTTAATTATTACTTACTACCTGAATTTAAGAAAAAATTAGCAACAATGAAACACGTTCTTAAGTGATAATCGGAAAGAAACAAAGTTTCAAAATTGTTTAACAATCCTATTCTCAGTATATAGATCTTATATTATTATGTACAATATATTACTGTTTTGTAGTCTCAAGTATATTGTATTCTATATCTCTAAAAGTTCACTATTATTTTTTAAGCAAAGAAAATTAGGCGACACTGCCATAAGTACCAATACCAAGATAATTACAATTACATCGATTATTTCAAGACGGAAAACTGATAAAATTACATATTTGAAATACACTCTCCACAGATACGCAATAACTCAATTCATATTGTACTGAAAGTCACCCGATAGAAATTCCTTTGATAATTTGATGATATATCTAATTAATATGAAAATCAAAAGGAAGCCAATCAAAATGTGCCTACTGAGACTGGATTTAAGAGGCGGCGGACTGCTTAATTGGGTTGCGTCGCGTCGTTACATACCGGCTGAGTCCACATCGATTTCACTGTATGTAGGTATCATCTATTGTCAAATCTACTTTGTACTTACACTTTTAATAGAAATATCGCTTAGGAAAATCTTACTAATATTACAAAGGTTGTAAGTATGGATCGATGGATGTTTGTTACTCTTTCACGCAAAAACTATTGACCGGAATTTGATCAAATTTTACATTAATATAGTTTATGTATCAGAATAATACATAAGCTATAATTAGGAAAAATAAATTATGTAACTTGGGCGAAATATAGGGATGAATGCCAAGTAAGTATGATGCAGACACCGTCGCGCGGGTCATCTAGTGTCCAAATAAGTAAGTGAGGTCACGTCTGTTCTTAAGTAACTTGCTTATGGCATTTTATCCCATGTTTTGGGGTAATAGTTGATATTATGTCTAATTTAATTACTTCGTGTATCGTCATATTATTTAACCTAAGCCATACAGCCATAATTATAATTAACAATTAAAAAAAAAACAATTAAAAACCACGTTTTATAAAAAAAAAGTATCACTGAATTCCAAAATTTAATTTCCAATAAAGAACTCGTACTACCTACCTAATTATATTTTTGTTACCTGTATATGTACAGCTTTGTTTTTCAAAATCTATGTATTAACAATAGTTTTATAGGAAGAATTTGAAGAATAAAAAGAGAGTAAGCTCAAATATGACGGCCGATAGGAATCAGTGGAAGAAGAAGACATAGTGCTCTGACCCTAAATAATATGATAAAGACAAGACAATGATGATGGTAAATGTATTACAAACATTGTTATTGTTATTTAAAATTATACCAATATATATACAAACTTGTAGTAATCGTGTGTTTTGAAGAGATAACTTACAAAACGTTCAAAAGCCATATTTTGTATACCAATTGTTGGAGTAATCAGACCAGCATTAGTATAATCGGGAAACATTTGTGCATACAAATGTAAGGACTTGGCTGTGACCCAAATAGCAGGTAGCAATCGAGGGCTCCACTTTCTAGTTTATTTGTAACAACTTAGTTCAACTGACTTCACAAAATATGAGAGTAATTAGACTGTATTTTGTTTGAATTTATTCATTTTATTGTTGTTAAATTAAAAAAATCTAAATGTGTTTTTTTTCACTTCTAACATCCCTCTGACTCGCGTTTGGCGTTTTTTCCTATGTACAGATATTCAACCTCTACAATTTTATTATACATATACAGTGGGTTGCCAAATTAATAGAGACAGTCACGAAATATTAGTTTTTTATAAAACATTGGTCTATTATTAATTAAAAACGTCACTTTAGGCTATAATATATGCTATAATGTTATCTTACTTAATATTATACGCCTACGATTGTGTGTGAGTATGGATGGATATATGTTTGTTAATCTTTCACGCAAAAACGATTGTTACTTACTTATTTTATAACGTAAGCTTCAATCAGCAGAGAAAATAATTTAGTAAATTGTCATAAGAATGGCAAATCAATAGTATCGCAGTTAAATCCATAATAAATAATAACTACATGATTATTCAAAATTATTTTGTTACCTATAATTTGGCATACGAACACTAACGATTCGAGACATCGTTACTGAGTGCTCTTAAAAAGATTTAGAACTTGCTACTAAGCTTAGAATTATGCAGCACTCGCTTCTCACCCTGACCCACAAGTTTCAAGGTGACTGAATTGCTGCAAAGATTTTCAGGTCGCGTGTCAGAAGCTCGCGTGGCTTGTTGAGTGCGAGTTACAGTGACGTCATTATGTAGGCTTTGATTGCCAATTCCTAGTAGTTGAACGACAGGGAATTACATTCTAACTAACAGTATACATGCAAAAGTCTGTTTTATATATAATAGATACATTCCAAATTAATTATATTTGTATTACTTGAAATTGTTGATTTTTTAAATCCACGAAGTTATAACGTCGATAATGATTTCTTATTATATAGGAAAATTAAAGAGTTAAAAATGGTTTTTATAAGTCCATGTTAATAGGACTTAATTTGACCGAAATTGAGAGCCTTGTAATATAATGGTTTACTCTTCAGACTTATAGAAAAAAATATTATATATTACAATAATATGTAAGTATAGCATAACAATTCAGGTTATGATAAGCACAGATAACAAAACAAACAAATTAGAGAGACGGCGATGGAATTGAGCTCTTATTATGTTCAATTCGAAAATTCCCGGCGAATTATGAGAATGTCAAGTACTGGGTTCAAGTGAACCCCATTTGGCATAACAGTCATGAAGTTATATTATGGAAATCGAATACGGAGATCGAAAAACACGTTCGGGATCTATAAATTAAAATATTGTTCGTTTTCGAATTCCGGAGCCGCATAGTTCCTTATAAATAAATAAATTCCCTTTCAGCGAATGCTCGTCGCTATCCACTGGGGAATAGTACGTGTTTCGCTATTGAAGTCATGTTTCCGACCAATTTGTGTCATCGACGTGCACAAGGAACTATACGGCAACGACTGTGTCGCCTAAATCGTCTGAGAGATACGTCGAAAACAATATGAGCTTAAATGTATAAGGAATAGAAGTTTACTAGTTGCTTCCTGTGGTATATTTTGTGTTATTTCTGTATTATGTGAGAAAGGAATTCACAATCATAAGAGGGTATGGTAAATCACTGAATAATCAAAGTCGTGTCTTCAAGGAACTGATCTTCTCTGTATCTTGATTTAGGTAATAGTGGCATTCAGCTATAGTAATAAATTAATTTTAATGACTTTTAAATTTATGCTGCTTGGTTTTTATGGTTATCATGCTCTAC